ATTTCAGTGATTGGCCTGCCTTCTTTGTCCTTGACCGGTCTCTCTCGTTTACTATATTTCCCTGTCAGGTTCCTCGTCGTGTCAAATAGTTGTCTCATATTTCCTTCTCTATCAGTTTTTTCCACTGTCGTTGCTAGGTCTTCCTCGTATTTCTGCTTGTCAGCTCTAACGCTCGTCTTTACTTGTTCGTTTGCTGTAGTGTATTCAGTTTGTGTCTTGATTTTCACTGTTCTTGTTCGGCTGTTGTTAATTGCTATCTTCTTGTTTTTCCTTTTCTCAATCTTGTTCAGGGTTTCCACAGTGATCCATTCGTTATTATGAAACGTTGAAGTTATAGCTTCTCTGATCCCTTTCCCATTGTCTTCCATAGTAGTTCCTCTTCTTCCAGTAAATCTTGTAAGGCTTGGAATCTGTTGTTGAGGGTTATCTTGAATTCGTTGAGTTTGTCAGTATGTGGAAGGATGGCAGCATCCCCCCCCCGAATTCATCCTTACCTGTCCAGCTTGGTCCAATGGGTTTCAATTAATCCAAGAACTGCTGGATTGATTCTCCTCATTTCCGTTGCCATTTGATTAGTCCTCCCGGTGTCCCACATTGTCTGGACATTCCATGTACCTATATCAATTGATGCTCTGGTTTTTAGAAGGCGCATCGTTCTCGTGACTTCCGAAGAATTTAGGCTTTTCCCTTGAGGCGCTATAATCTTCCTGAAAGAAGATTCTTCAATCTCCAGAAAAGTTTAAATTGTTTAAAATGATTATTGTTTTTCATGGGATGGGGTTGCTGACCCAATCCTCAACCTTCCTCCTTTAAGTATGCTTGGGACTGGCAGTAACACAAGGAGAGCCACAGGAGGGTTTCGCTATTGAAGTGTATCAAGGAATTAACTTAATAGATATTTAACTTTTTTTCTCTTTACATGGAAAACAGAAGAAAACTTTATTCCTTATATCATTTGTACACTTTATACAAATTCTAATTTCGAAGTGATCCTGATTAAAACAAACATTAACGTTTAGATTAAATGATTAGCTAACGGTCAGTAATCACCAACGTCCATTATTAAGTGGAAATATTCTCGGAAATAAATAACTTTCTATTGTTTTTATGATTAGTACTTTCTGCCGTAGATTTGTAGACAGGATGGACATCACAAGTAACCTGGTTTTAATTACCCACTTTTTAATTAAACTTGATCATCATCAATATCAGGCTTGAATAACTAAAATGGATATTGATTTAGGGTCTGCGAAACGTACTACTTATGACAGTTGAGCAGTAATATACAGTAATAGCATATGAATTCTAGTTTACTGGTATCTCATCCAGTATAGAGTTTTTAGTAAAGTATATTTTATTTAGTTTTACCACATTCCCTAATATTATCTCTAATCTCTTCTTGTACACATTAAAAATCCATATTCCCATCTGTTTCTTTTGATGAAGAATGACTAAATAATACAGCGAATTAGCAGTGTTTTTAGCATGTAAGAGTCAAATGTACTGCTCAACCGTCAAAAAGTAAATAACATCTAAAGTTGGATTGCAAATTAACAATTGAAATCCAGGTAGGAACCTTAGTGAGTAATTTTCTATTATGTATATAATAGTCGTGTTAACGATCAATAGAAATGACCTTAGTTTGATTCGTTCTACAGTAAAGTATTGTTCATCAAGCTTTAAAGTGTTTGTTGCATAGCACAATCGTCTAGTGTTTTTGTAGCACCTTTTTGTTATACTTCAATATCGCTCCGATGGTCACAGTGCAATGGGGAAGCAATCATCTGTAATATTATTCAGCTTCATTGCCTTCTCAAGTAAAACTCAATCGAAAAAGGAACTTTAAAGGACACTTTTTTGTTTTGGAAATTATATTTATTTTGAGAACTAACATACCTAAACATTAGAATTGCTTTAAAACAGAACATTTTTCACGTTAAACTTTAGGAACCAATGACATTTTAGAATTTTCTTGCACAATGAAGACCTGATTATTCAACAGCTAGTTTTATAGAAATCAAAATCATCTTTATATACCGAGATTCCTCCTCTCGCAGCCGCACTTTAAAATTAAAAGTATTCGATCTATGGGACTAAAATCAAGTTGTTATCTATCTACGCGAACATACTAATTAAATATAAATGGTCCTCTCAAAAGTAAATCATCATCTTCACTCGCCGTATTTAAAATTTTAGTTCATATTAGCCTTTTATAAAGTTTCCCCTGACTTAACACCTAGAGCATCTTTCTCGAATACTTTATTTTACTGTTGAATTTTGAAGGAAGACCTGAAATACCGTCAGCATTGTCAATAGAAGAGGAGCGGTTAATCAAATCCCTTGAGCGTCTGAACAGGCGACTGAATGGTAAGATATTTTATAACAGTTACTATTTTGGGACTTTCTTTGTAAACAAGTTAGCAAATTTACATATACGTTACAGCAGTTATGCAAAACGTAATTACTGAATGAATAATATTCCACCCGACTGAATTATCCTACATGACCACAAAAAAAAAAGAAACTATAGTCAGAAAAACAGTTAGCTATGTTCCTTTCAGTTATTAGTTTATCTAATGTACGAAGACAGAAGCTCGCGTTATAAGCAAGCATACTATCATCAATAAGACTGAAAGGAAACTGGTTAAATGTCTATATCTAACTTCACTTTTATCAACTAATCTGAGTAAATGGCATTATACTTGCAGTCCGTCGCCACAATAAATCACTTTTCAAATTTATTAGACAAATTTCAGTGGTATTCAACAATAATCAAGTAAATATTTGAGTGTACAGAGAGGAGTTACACTATTGTATGAGTATTAGTGACGTCGCCCGGTTCTCCTGACTGAATTAAGTGAAGCAGCACAGTCTAACATCAGACATGGAGTGTTTTGGCAAGCCGCCACCGCTATGTGGTAATAAGCTAAAAAAATATCATTTACCCGAATGCCATAAAATCCCGACTGTTTTTCCAGCGTCGGGAATGTTTTCTATGAATTCATTTGTGATGACATAAATTAATTGACACATGATCTCAACCATTGAAACTGCTATAATATCCAGAAAAACCCTTCTGATATGAATTGACATATGCTCACGAGTGACTGGCTTCGAGATATCCCCTGGAGTTCTAATGAGAAACAGTGACCAGTAGAGCTCAACTGAGTCTGTTGTGAGGTACTAACTCACTGAAGACAATGGTGGATGTGTCGCTCAATTCAGTGGATTGGTTGAAGTTAGACCTTAACATCATTGGATGCCGGCTCAGTGGTCTAGTGGTTAAGCGCTCGCGCGCGAAACTGATAGGTTCTGGATTTGAATCTTGCGAGGTGGGATCGTGGATGCGTACTGCCGAGGAGTCCCACAATAGGATGAAACGGCCATCCAGTGCTTACAGGTTTTTTATGATGGTCTAGCTTTGATCGACCTATGATCTCAACCATTGAAATTACTTTAAAATCCACAAAAACCCTTCTGATACAAATAAATAAGGCCAATTTTATGATAATTCACGTTGTAAACCGGACTACCGTTGTACTAACGCAGTGAACTGTCAAGCAGGCTATGTACAACCATTAAAAATCACAAAGATATGCACATCCTATCCATGGATATTTCATATTCCGATTTTAACTTTATATGGATAGATGATCTGGTCTCAAGATAACCTGAGAGTGATGCACATCTTAATGGTGCAAACTGTAAATTCTACAATCAATGCTATTTTTAAGTAACACAACAAATAAAACCTACATGTCTAGATAACACTCGCCTTATAAGGGATGCTGGTTACAAAGAAAAAACGGTAACAAACATAAGTGTTATTGCAATTTTCGATAACCACGAAGACATCATTCGGCAGTGTTTTCAACCCCGATGATTATCCGAAACTCCTACTGTCACGATGTAGACTGCAGATACCGAAGTGTGTGTTGACAGCATTTGCCGTATTACTCTTTAGGACGTCCAGCATGAGCAACGAGATTCTTAGTCACTACATGATTTTCTTTATACAGCCTTAAATAATAAAAATACTTTTAAATATTCGAACGTGTGGCGCATATATATTGGCGCTCTCTTGTACCAATATTTATGTGTTCAAATAAATAAATATTCGAACTTCTGACGTGATGAAACACAATCTAACAGTTGTTTGAACAGCTGAAACAATCCACTCCTGTTTTAAAAATTATTTATTTTGACACATAAATATCGGTTCAAGGAGGCACCAAATACATATGCGCCACACAAATCTCATTCGGTATGTGTGAGGGCTGCGATACTGCCCGGGTGCCCAAACCGAAGCAGGTGGTTTTCTTAGGGGACCACTCCCCGAAGGTCTGATCCACAAGGCAGTGGGGCATCGTATGAAGATGCAGTCCTATGGAAGCCGGTGACCAACAATTGGTTCATACGCCATTTGTTCCCGCAGGATACTGGAGCCCATGTGCACCATTGATTTAGTTTGGGATCCGATTAAAGCGCCGGACATTCGCTGTTCGTCCTCTCATTTTCGTAATTAACACCCCAGCCACGAGAAGGCAGTGAGTAGGACTTCCCTCGCAGAGGCTATATACGCGTGGCAATGTGAGAGCGTTTCGAGAGGGAGAGAGGACTCTTCCCACTCTCGGCCGTACCAGGGAATTTGAAAAAATATTTGCAGCACTATTTCAATGAAACACTGAGTCCTGAAAACTATCTTCATTACTACTCTCTTGAAGTTGAAATATTGCATCCACTGTTTTTATTTATTTGGAAATTCCAGTCACGACAATAGATTTGTGGGACCAGCATATTATTGGGAGATCCATACATTTTACCAACTGTATACCTCAAAGTATAATTTTAAAATATTTACTCGGTTATAACGTTCATTCATCTATTCTTCGTTTTCAGATATAATTATTCGTCAGTAGTGATAAAACAGTTCTGAGTCGATCACAATACGTACCCTTTACAACGAAGAACAAATCAAATACATATACAACTGTATAAAAGTCCACGAGTGTCATGCACGTTTTTCTCATTATATAAATATATAAAAACTAACTAATATTATTGAGACGGTTCGGGGTATTTTTCTGGGAAACTTTGAAGAAAACAATCAAGCTTACGGATGAAATGATATGCTCAAAATAAAAATGAAGGGGTCGCAATGATCACTTCTGAATGGCCGAGCTATACCGTCTCAACTATGTTCCAGAGTTGACACTCAATCTCATTCCACACTTTCCATCTACTATTCAATATCCGGTGTTCTCCCGTTTGGCTTTAAATCCGCTCAGCCTGATGGATGACTTGTGATAAGGGTTCAGTGTTGGTTCATTGTCCCAGTAGAATCAAACCGAGTAAGGCCATCGCACACCAGAGTTCACAAAGAGGTTGGAAAGAATCCTACAGTAACCATAAGCTGAACGGCAAATCAAACAAAGCAGAAGCAATTGACTTAGAAATAACATGTAAATGGCTTCAAAATGTTTAGATGAGTTAACAATATGTGCCAAATAAATAACGACCTGGCTAATTCAGAGAAAAAGAAACCCAGACATGATTCAGTAGAAAAGTGACTTGGCGAGTCACATCAAAACGCATAACACTAACTGGTAGTTAGTATTTTAACTAATAGACAGTATAAGTGATCCATCCCTAGATAAGTAATGGTCGAGTGGTGAAACAACCGATGCACCAGGAATGCTGATAATGACATTACATTGGATTTAAACCAGAAAGTCAGTTTGGATAGACGATGTTATCCTGTTCGTATATATTGACTTTCAGTGATATCGGTACCAGTAGAATAATTCAAGGGACAGGGTTAAAATTACTGCAATTAGTGTAACGACCGGAACCTCAGTGTTCCGTTTGAACGCTAAACTAACGAACTAAGGTAAATCCGATTATGTCAAACTACGTTCCTCTGTATGGCGCACGAAGCGTCTTGGTGAGTACCAATAAAAGTTCAACAGCGATATGATGATTATTTATCGCCTCGAATGCAAATATCAGGTTTTGCAACGCGAGATAACACGAAACCAGCAGATGCGTTTTCGGGATTGGCTTCTAAGGAGGATATCCATCCTTACTCTATCTAGCAGTGAACGCAACACTTCATCACCTAACTCGCTCTTTATGATAATAAGTGAGCATATAGTTAATGTGACCTCGACTCACTAACGTTATAACAAGATATCGACATCCACTGACAAATTTGACTTAGTAGTTTGAGATTCAACAAATGACTTGACCAACTTCAGAAAACTGGCATTGGGGACAATAACCATAAAGATATTTTAAATATAGTGGGGATCGGCTAATGGCTGTGTTTTCGATGACACATCTTATATTAACACCACATATATCATGCGTTTATGTTCTAAACGTGCAAATCTGAATAGTTGTCATACTCTATAAGTCATAAACGCGCAGTAAGGGGGATGCTTCACGAATATTCTTGTACACAAGTTACGTCAGCCCATCGACTGTTGTCCTCAAGTATCAGTATTTACACACACGAGAACACAATGAATTGCGAGAAAATATACAGTTTATTTATAGCTCTGAAAAATAGAGTCAGTCACTGTCGTCGGATGATGATTCTTCAGATCCCGTATCCTGACTGTAACGGAAAAGAACAAGAGCAAGATGACCAGACTAGTAGAATACAATCAGAAAGAAATGTCATCAATATGAGCAGACATATGCTTGTTCATCATTAACGATATTTATGAAACTCACCCGTCGTGATCGTTCAAATTTTTGCTGAAATGTAAAAAAAACTGACTTAGTTCGGATGGATAAAAAACGAAGTGACATTCAGACAATAGCGTCATCAATTGAAACAGACATATGCTTGATCATCATAGCCATTGTATTCTAAACGTACCTTGTCATTTCATCGTCACTTGAGTCGGAAGGATTTGGTGCTTTAATTCGCCGTCTATCAAAGATGTCGAAGATAAATAGTGAACTTACGTTACAGCTTCCCCAACCACACTCACTTCCATTTTGGTTTTGGATCTGAAGTACGCGTTATCAAACATTGACCACTTACCCGACAGAGTTCGGGTTATTTGCCACACCGTCAGATTTGGCAAACTTTTTAAGTAAACCTTGGGCAACAAGTTTTTTCCTTTCCATGGAAACAGGACCACGACCCCACTGTCGAGGATAGAGATCACGCTCCATTATTACTCTTTTCAGTTTTGCGACTAATCCATGGTCACACGTCGCGATTGTTGCAGTAGTCATCAGTGCGACAGCTTGAAGTTAATGTTAGTCTGAAACGACCTACCAAGAGCTACGGCTTCGCCTTTGGTAGTCATTAGGACTATTTCATCGTTGACATTGATGTCGTTGTCGTAACGAAGTACGCCAGGCAACATAAGTTTCGCACCGAAGCAAATAGCGCACACCTAATCTACCCATGCTTCTATACGTAAAAGAACTTACGGCAGTATCCTTAAGCATAATTCGTTTGTGCTTGATTAGCAGCTTTTCAAGAGGCATTATAACACGACGCAAATATGTCTCATCTCGCCTATTGTCATAAAGCCACTTGGCATCTAGTATGTCATGCATAGTGACCAGGTTGTCCTGCAATATGAAGGACTTTGTTTGGACATACCCTTTCAGACATAAAACCAGTTTTCGACCGCCTAAGTTCCTCCATAACACCTCCACAACCTAGAAGCAAACCCAAATGCACGCAAAGCGTCCGAACATACGTTCCAGCCTCACAACGCACCATTATTAACCCTAAATTTGGTGTTGCAGGATCACAAGACTTACCCAAATTTTTACTTTTTTCATACTCTAACAGTTTACACTCGTATATTGTACGAACTCTGAGTTGGCGCTTAACAGCAGCAACTAGTGGGGGTCTCTGGAATAATGCCCCAGTTAGCCCTTCTACAGCCTATGAACGATCAATAAGGGACAAAGGTCAGTCTTGCGTCAACCGAGATGCAAAAATGCTGACAAGTTTAGAAACTGCTCACTTTTTGTATTTTTTTGATCTCGTCCACGGACTCGTGAAGTCTAAATATACACACATACTCCTTACCAGCACTTTGCTGAGACTTCACTAGCCTAGTAGCACGGTCGATACAGACAATAAGACAGCCTGAGCCACTAAGAGTGAAATTGCCATACCTGAAACTTTGGGATCTAAAGTGCCACTATGACCAGTCTTGTTGACTCCAAGGGCCCGTTTCACCCACGCAACAACTTCATGCGACGATGGGTTGCATGGCTTGTCGAGGTTGATAACTCCACTCCTTAAAAGTTAGAGAGATGGTTCAGACAAACTTGATGTATTCATCCAGAGGTCTGTGTAAAGGAGAGTAACCTGTTGTATCGGCCTCAAAATGGCACTCGCGTACATTCATAAGATGAACATTCTAAGTCTGAGGGGTGGTTATGAAATGCCTACTTTTAACAGTAATGGCCATTGGCTGCAATCCAAAGTAGGTTTCTTGTCCTCTGAAATTACCGCAAAGGATTCAGATGCCTGAATAGCCTGAAATAAATTAACAAATAAGCAGAGACAAGAACTTACTCCAACATCACCAGCTCTAACTTTGTGTTTCTTCATTACCAGTGTCACGCGATATGAACAAGCACGCCGTCAAGGTCTAACAACTCTATGAATGCATATAAACAAACAACTTCTTCAGTATTTAATAGCAAATAACAACTATTTTCCATCACCCAAAAAACGTTTTCGTTCCATGAATGAAAAGATGTTCCTGCTAATATCATTGCTCGTGTATGTTTGCCTAAGTGATTACGTGATCATCTCAATGGAAGACTTTCATCAATGTTCTGTTTCCCAAAATGATTTACTAAGAAAAGAAAGGTCACTTAAGGCTTCACCTTTGACATGCTTCTTTTCCGAGTCACACATACCTCATGATTTGTGTGGACACTGTTACATCATAAATCGTACCGGATCCGTGAACCACTTCACGTGATATTCTTCGTCCCAATTTTTATCACCATTCTACAGCCAGTGAATCATATCATCATGAGGCTTGTAGTTAGGGTCCTAACCTCCAAACTATTAGGAGTCTACTCTAGAGTGTTACAAAAACTCTAAATACAAAGGCGTTAACGGCGAACACAACCGTCGGTCATACGTCACATATTTGATAACGAAATTTCGCTAACCTGTTGATACGGGTGCAGAAGTTGGAGTTCTTCAGCGAATTTTAACGAACGGTTTCAAACTTACAGGCGGCAAACAGAAGGCCTATCGCAACATATGGTCAACTATACGTCTACCTTAACGTCGGTTTACGCAAACCCATCCACTGGGTTTTTGTTGTTGCAGTAGTTTCTATGCTAATCATTTGTATAGACATGCTACAACTCCTGCTCGATAAAGTCAAATTATAGAAGTCGGTGCATCTTAGTTGTAATAGTACTTATTTTTAAAGGTAAAAAGTTGTGCTCATATTCCTTATTTCCCGACTGCATTCACCTTGCCATTTTAAGACATGTAACAAACATTCTGACAAAATATGAACTACGGGAAATTAATTTACATTGAAAGCGTGCAATCTAGAGAGTGGTGCTTATAACGAAGACAAGAATAATCCCACTAAAACTTCAGAAAGATCACTGTCCAAAGAGTACATAAAAAACGGAATGTTCTTGCTAAATAAAGGACTCATCACTTAGTGGATCTATGTTGACATATAGTTCAATAGATATTTAAAGTCTTGAAGGTGATTTATTGTCAATGGGTTGATCACACAGAGCCTGAGAGTCTTATTTTCTAAACATACCAACCTTTTAGCATTCGATATGGAATAATAGGAAATTTAACGGCTACACAAAATAAGAGGGTCGATAAGTACTTCAACCGTAATTTTAAATAACACTGTGAGATCCTCGACAGGCACTTGACCACCCAACTCAGGCTGCTATGAGATCGTTGATTAGTGCTCACATTCTCTGGATTATCATAGTGTTGGTCAGTATCCAGATCCAGCTTACTAGCTCACTTGATACAGGAAAGTAATCAACTGTGGTTATGGCTCATTAACTAGCACTTAATGCTCCAGTAGGTTTGTTAAGATATCCTCCACTAGCAAATATAGCGCTTGTTAGATCAAAACTAAGGTTTAGACTGAAGAATAGCTGTCTAGGTGGGTGGGCGTGATCTCTATCCTCGACAGTGGGGTCGTGGTCCTGTTTCCATGGAAAGGAAAAAACTTGTTGCCCAAGGTTTACTTAAAAAGTTTGCCAAATCTGACGGTGTGGCAAATAACCCGAACTCTGTCGGGTAAGTGGTCAATGTTTGATAACGCGTACTTCAGATCCAAAACCAAAATGGAAGTGAGTGTGGTTGGGGAAGCTGTAACGTAAGTTCACTATTTATCTTCGACATCTTTGATAGACGGCGAATTAAAGCACCAAATCCTTCCGACTCAAGTGACGATGAAATGACAAGGTACGTTTAGAATACAATGGCTATGATGATCAAGCATATGTCTGTTTCAATTGATGACGCTATTGTCTGAATGTCACTTCGTTTTTTATCCATCCGAACTAAGTCAGTTTTTTTTACATTTCAGCAAAAATTTGAACGATCACGACGGGTGAGTTTCATAAATATCGTTAATGATGAACAAGCATATGTCTGCTCATATTGATGACATTTCTTTCTGATTGTATTCTACTAGTCTGGTCATCTTGCTCTTGTTCTTTTCCGTTACAGTCAGGATACGGGATCTGAAGAATCATCATCCGACGACAGTGACTGACTCTATTTTTCAGAGCTATAAATAAACTGTATATTTTCTCGCAATTCATTGTGTTCTCGTGTGTGTAAATACTGATACTTGAGGACAACAGTCGATGGGCTGACGTAACTTGTGTACAAGAATATTCGTGAAGCATCCCCCTTACTGCGCGTTTATGACTTATAGAGTATGACAACTATTCAGATTTGCACGTTTAGAACATAAACGCATGATATATGTGGTGTTAATATAAGATGTGTCATCGAAAACACAGCCATTAGCCGATCCCCACTATATTTAAAATATCTTTATGGTTATTGTCCCCAATGCCAGTTTTCTGAAGTTGGTCAAGTCATTTGTTGAATCTCAAACTACTAAGTCAAATTTGTCAGTGGATGTCGATATCTTGTTATAACGTTAGTGAGTCGAGGTCACATTAACTATATGCTCACTTATTATCATAAAGAGCGAGTTAGGTGATGAAGTGTTGCGTTCACTGCTAGATAGAGTAAGGATGGATATCCTCCTTAGAAGCCAATCCCGAAAACGCATCTGCTGGTTTCGTGTTATCTCGCGTTGCAAAACCTGATATTTGCATTCGAGGCGATAAATAATCATCATATCGCTGTTGAACTTTTATTGGTACTCACCAAGACGCTTCGTGCGCCATACAGAGGAACGTAGTTTGACATAATCGGATTTACCTTAGTTCGTTAGTTTAGCGTTCAAACGGAACACTGAGGTTCCGGTCGTTACACTAATTGCAGTAATTTTAACCCTGTCCCTTGAATTATTCTACTGGTACCGATATCACTGAAAGTCAATATATACGAACAGGATAACATCGTCTATCCAAACTGACTTTCTGGTTTAAATCCAATGTAATGTCATTATCAGCATTCCTGGTGCATCGGTTGTTTCACCACTCGACCATTACTTATCTAGGGATGGATCACTTATACTGTCTATTAGTTAAAATACTAACTACCAGTTAGTGTTATGCGTTTTGATGTGACTCGCCAAGTCACTTTTCTACTGAATCATGTCTGGGTTTCTTTTTCTCTGAATTAGCCAGGTCGTTATTTATTTGGCACATATTGTTAACTCATCTAAACATTTTGAAGCCATTTACATGTTATTTCTAAGTCAATTGCTTCTGCTTTGTTTGATTTGCCGTTCAGCTTATGGTTACTGTAGGATTCTTTCCAACCTCTTTGTGAACTCTGGTGTGCGATGGCCTTACTCGGTTTGATTCTACTGGGACAATGAACCAACACTGAACCCTTATCACAAGTCATCCATCAGGCTGAGCGGATTTAAAGCCAAACGGGAGAACACCGGATATTGAATAGTAGATGGAAAGTGTGGAATGAGATTGAGTGTCAACTCTGGAACATAGTTGAGACGGTATAGCTCGGCCATTCAGAAGTGATCATTGCGACCCCTTCATTTTTATTTTGAGCATATCATTTCATCCGTAAGCTTGATTGTTTTCTTCAAAGTTTCCCAGAAAAATACCCCGAACCGTCTCAATAATATTAGTTAGTTTTTATATATTTATATAATGAGAAAAACGTGCATGACACTCGTGGACTTTTATACAGTTGTATATGTATTTGATTTGTTCTTCGTTGTAAAGGGTACGTATTGTGATCGACTCAGAACTGTTTTATCACTACTGACGAATAATTATATCTGAAAACGAAGAATAGATGAATGAACGTTATAACCGAGTAAATATTTTAAAATTATACTTTGAGGTATACAGTTGGTAAAATGTATGGATCTCCCAATAATATGCTGGTCCCACAAATCTATTGTCGTGACTGGAATTTCCAAATAAATAAAAACAGTGGATGCAATATTTCAACTTCAAGAGAGTAGTAATGAAGATAGTTTTCAGGACTCAGTGTTTCATTGAAATAGTGCTGCAAATATTTTTTCAAATTCCCTGGTACGGCCGAGAGTGGGAAGAGTCCTCTCTCCCTCTCGAAACGCTCTCACATTGCCACGCGTATATAGCCTCTGCGAGGGAAGTCCTACTCACTGCCTTCTCGTGGCTGGGGTGTTAATTACGAAAATGAGAGGACGAACAGCGAATGTCCGGCGCTTTAATCGGATCCCAAACTAAATCAATGGTGCACATGGGCTCCAGTATCCTGCGGGAACAAATGGCGTATGAACCAATTGTTGGTCACCGGCTTCCATAGGACTGCATCTTCATACGATGCCCCACTGCCTTGTGGATCAGACCTTCGGGGAGTGGTCCCCTAAGAAAACCACCTGCTTCGGTTTGGGCACCCGGGCAGTATCGCAGCCCTCACACATACCGAATGAGATTTGTGTGGCGCATATGTATTTGGTGCCTCCTTGAACCGATATTTATGTGTCAAAATAAATAATTTTTAAAACAGGAGTGGATTGTTTCAGCTGTTCAAACAACTGTTAGATTGTGTTTCATCACGTCAGAAGTTCGAATATTTATTTATTTGAACACATAAATATTGGTACAAGAGAGCGCCAATATATATGCGCCACACGTTCGAATATTTAAAAGTATTTTTATTATTTAAGGCTGTATAAAGAAAATCATGTAGTGACTAAGAATCTCGTTGCTCATGCTGGACGTCCTAAAGAGTAATACGGCAAATGCTGTCAACACACACTTCGGTATCTGCAGTCTACATCGTGACAGTAGGAGTTTCGGATAATCATCGGGGTTGAAAACACTGCCGAATGATGTCTTCGTGGTTATCGAAAATTGCAATAACACTTATGTTTGTTACCGTTTTTTCTTTGTAACCAGCATCCCTTATAAGGCGAGTGTTATCTAGACATGTAGGTTTTATTTGTTGTGTTACTTAAAAATAGCATTGATTGTAGAATTTACAGTTTGCA